AAGGGAGGAAGGGAGGAAGGGAAGGAGGGAAGAAGCGAGGAAGGGAGGGAGGAAATGTCTATGGAAATCCAAGTTTTAGGTCTTCTCAAATCCTTCTGTGTTCAGTTTGACTTCAAAGAAAACAAAACCAGGGTGTGAGGGTAAACGCCTGCCCAACTTTCTCAGAGTTAGATGAGTGTGTACATTTGATTGACAGGCCTCCTTGCAGAACATTTTAGAAATATTTGGAATGAAGTAGGAAAGAGACCTAAGTGACCACCCACTGGTACCAAAAAACAACAGGAAGCAAAATGAGGATCAGTCCCTTCCCCTTTCCCTAGGTTGGCCTGCACAGGCGAGGTGCGACAGCCATCTTGTCCAACTCAGCTTGCGTCTCAATGGCATCCCTAAGTGTCACATTGGGCAGGAACCTTGGAAATGAATGTTAGCACAGCATGCAGGGTCTGAAGATGACAGAAACACTCCAGGCAGAGAGGAGCCAGAGAGACTAAACAGGGGGAATGCCTAGAGCTCCATTCGCCCAGCGTGCCTTTTCTCTGGTGCCGCCAGCCAAACAAGAGCTCAGCCTCAGGCAGAGTTGTGAGCAGTAGACTTGCATATTTATTGTCTTGACTTTCAAGCAAATAAATGGCTAGGAAAACACATCGGCGGAGCAGAGATCTCGCTATAGGGCTCTGACTTGGAAGCTGCTTCCAAGCTGCTGTGTAGTACTTTTTTTTTTCTTTCAGGATTTTCCACTGATTAAAATTAAAATTTGGTTGTAAAGCAAGGGACCCACGGAGATGGGGCCTCTCAACAACTGTATCCTGCATCCTCCATCTCTTCTTTTCAAAGGCAGGGCAAGTCCAAACCAGCAGCTCTGCGGTGCTGACGGTGTACCAGAGCAGTTTCACATTCCTGCACAAGCCTCCGGACGACGGAACACTTGAGTTCTCTGCAATTAGCAAGAAGAAACTGATGATGTCAGCATGATATTTCCAGCTACATTCTGAACCGCATCTTTGTAAATTAAATACCTGTCATTTATTGCTGCTTTGCTGATTGCTTGTCTTGAATATCCATCAGGGGACTGGATAAATCGTGCGCTTTATCAGCTGGGGGTTTCAGCCTCCTGGTCAGCTCACATTAAGCCATTCAAACACAAAAATTCTCTGGTAGCTACAAGGGCTGAGTCCTCTATGCCATAGCCACACCGGGAGGGCAGTGCTAACAGATCTTGCCTTTTACAGGACTGTGGATTCCAAACTGGGTTTTCCCCTTTTCGTCCCAGCAAATAAGGAAGCAGCCACAGCATTCTCCCAAGAATGATCTTCATGATGCACAGGGGCCATCCAACATCCCCCAACTAGAAGGTGATTGTTCTTTTCCCCTTGCCCTGCTTCAGCTGACTGCAAAATCTGTCTGTCTCCTCACCATTAAAGACACACACACACACACACACAACACTCACACACTTTTTAACCAACTTGCATGTTGAGAAATGAAGGTAAAGTCTTGATTTATTGTGACCTGAATAGCACACTTGACAATTCCAGCAGGTTGCTGGACTTGAGGCATGTCTGTCATGTTTTATGGCTGGGGCCATTCCCATCTTGGCTGAGAAGCTAAGAGTGGAATTTTAACTATGAATTTCCTTGTGTTTAATAAGCTAAAGTCAAAAAGGCCACAGTCTGCTTTCAGATATGCTTGAGCAACTTCCAACTGGAGTTACTCATATGTATTCGAGTTTGGTTAAAAACACTCTAACTCTTAGGCACTTGAAAGAAAAACCAATTTTTAATGCACATATGGAAGAATAGAAAGGTATGGCTAAAATAATGAAATTTGTTCATTCTTTGGGGTGAAGGGTTTGGTTTCCGAGGAAACAATCCCATTTGGTCTTTTTCAGTTCTAGACCTGCTTGTCTATTCCATCCTTATAGGCGTCGACCTTCTCTGAGTCTAGCTTGAAAGGCTTGTTAGATTGACCTGGTGCTGTTACTTAAGGGGCTGTTGTGGTACAGTTGAGCACAATGAGCCTGGACTCAAAAGAAACAAGACCAGTTCCTTTCTGACAACAGTTAGACACCGGCAATTTGGTCTTTCTAAGTATCTAACCTTCTAAAAACTATTGGCTTTGCCATCTTTATAGTGTGAAGAATTCGGAGGATGGGCGTTCAAACAACCCTTCTATTTAGAGCATGTTCTGGCTCTTCAGGCTATTAGGTGCCATCAGTAGACAGCAGGTATTGAACAAAATGTGTGTGTGCACATACACACACCTAGTAATAAAAGTGGAAACATTAAAACAACTTATCTAAAAGAGATTTTGGGACAATATGGAGCAACTTCTTAGGAAAGGAATTCCAATGAATGTTAATGACAATGAGCACTTACTCTGTCTCCTTTGATTCAATAATTCCACATAGAGAATTTGAAAAGTAAGAGTAGAGAGGAAAACAAATGAAATGAACCCCAACTTTCAGGAAAAGAGAGTTTACACTCCCTATATATTCCTAGCAGAAAGATACTTAGGTTAAATTTGTGTAACGACAGATGAATAGATGGGGGTTGAACATACATATTCTGTTTGATCCAATTTTGTAACAACCACAAAAATATCAAAAAGACTGGAAAGAAATCAAAGACATATTTTCAACATTAACTGTTATAAGATGCTTTAGGTGGGATTATTTGAAATTTTGAAGTATAATACTCTAGCTAAAATATCTTGCTCAAATAGTTTCTAATTAATCAAAGCTTTACCCTTCCTATCCTTCCAAAAACAATATGGAGATATTTTCCTGGGAGGTTTGATCTTATTTTTGCATCCAGCTATCTGTAAGTTCACAGATATTCAGGCTAGTACATTTGGCATCGGGTCAAACAGCAAATGCTTGGATTTAGTCAGTGAGTGTCACGAGGCACAACATCAAAGGAATGTTTGGTCTTTGCACCCCCCAAATGGCATGGTTCATGTCATTTAAGCCTCAAGAATGCTGAGCCGAGGGTGACCCATGTCCTGGAGAGAGAGCCAATGTATATGTTTCCATCAACTGGGGTCGGGTGGGGGTGCACAAATTGTGGGTGGAGTTGGTATACTGAGAGAAAGCTTATCCCAACTCAGAGTGCATTGATGTCCAAACAAAAAGGAGACTGCAGTAAATAGAGCCCGTTAATTTATAAAAGTAGACGAAAGCACACAAAATGAGCAGGACTACATGCACATGTGGCTTCCTAAGCCCCTTGGACGTAGCAGCATCTTCGCATGAAAGCCAAATCTAGTGGTGATGCTGGAAAGCTCTGTAGGTAGCAATTAATTTTCTTATTGCTATGACAAAGGCAACTTAAGGAAGGAAGGAAGAGTTTACGGTCTCGGGGTACAGCCCATTACAGCCTGGGAAGGTGCGGCAGCAAGTGTGGAGGTGTCTGGTCATGCTACACACACAGCCAGGAAGGAGAAGGAGGTAGAGGCTGATTTTCCTGTTACACACACAGACAGGAAACAGAAAGAGATGAAGGTTGATGTCATGTTTTTTTCTCTTTTTTCTTTTATTCAGTTCAGGACTACCAAGCATGGAATGGTACTACCCACATTCAGAGTGGATTCTCTCTCCTCAGTTAGCCCTCTCTGGAAATACCCTTACACGCATGTCCAGAGGTGTCTCTCTTGGGTAATTCCACATCTAGTCACAGTGACAATAAGGATTAACCACCGCAGACAATATTTTCCTGTTTCAGCACATCCCCCAGGACTCCCTGTGACTCACTTATGTGCGAAACCACGCCCTCTCTGAAGTGGAGTCTTCACCTAGGTGATGGAAGGTCTCCATGTCACAGTCACCTCATCCACGAAGCGAGCTTGACAGAGTAGAGTGGCATTCCTGGGGCAAAACTGAAAGCAGGTTTTGAATTTCAAACGCAAATGTTTCCTCACATCGGAGTTTGCATAAAAGACCAAATACATGCCTCAATTCCAGAAACTTAAAAGCCAATAGAAGGCTCCTGAAATCAGAAGAGATGTGAAGGGTGCTTTAGCCATCTCCTCATACCCCGCCCCCACTTTCTGGGAATTTTTCTAAGATGCCCCAGCCAGTGGAGTCTAGATTCAAATCTAGCTCTCTCGACTTTCTCTGTTCTGGCTCCAACATTCCTCAAACCCCGCAGAGATTGCAAGCTGCTAAACCTGATCAGCACGCACACTGCATGTTCAGTCAGCAGTGACTCAAAGGGCTTTGGAGCCATAAAGTCTAAATCCTGAGTCTCAGTGCTGTGCAGCTCTGGACAGGACAACTAACTTCTCTGAACAGCAGGGTCGTCTGTAAAGCAAAGACCATATGCTCTGCTCCATGCTATAAGGGTGGGAAATAAATACGCCAAGGCACAGCAAGTGCTGCGTGGGGCTCCCTGCATGCCACAGGAGTGCAGGAAACAGTGTCTAGTATCAATGTCATGCTACTGTCTTAGAGACCTGACCTTTCAACTTTAGCCTAGAAAGAGTGATCGGACTAATTCACCCTTCTTGACAAATGCTGTTTGGACGTTTCTGTTCTCAGCTGTGCCTAGCCAAAATAAACCTAATCCAATCTGGCCCATTTACTGCTTTGGCACCATTTTGAACACTAGTCCCATCAGTTTCTATTTTCAGTTTCTGGTTTACCCAAACAGGCCATTTTTAGAGAGCATTGAGTTTAAACCGAAGCTGCCAATAAAATAGATTTGTCTTGAAAACAGCAGGACCCTTCTGAAGGAACGTCACTACGAATACACACAGGGCCCCGGGGATCCTCCACAAGCATTGTCCCTGGCCTGGATAAGTGCTCAGCTATGAAGTTTCCCAATTCTATTGGGGGGGGGGGAGGGGTCGTGTCTGTATGTGCTCTACCAACCCAGCCGTCCACTAGGTTTGGGTGTCCTTTAAGAGTGAACTTGATCCCGGTTCGCTTTTGGTCTCCCTCCAGAGAAGCGAATGCGCTGGCATAGCTCTGCCATTTGTCAGCCAGAAGTCTGGCTACACATTTGCTCGTCAATCTAAACCTAACCTATTCTCATCCGCACACTTGGGGGCTTGTGTAAATCAAGCAGGCGTTCTGTCACTCAGCAGCGGTATCTCCACGGAATGGTGCACAACCACACGCCTTCCTGAGCTGTCTCATGATGCCGGTGGGAGAAATATTCACATGAATGCACTTTTTCAGGGATGGTGGCAACAGGATGCTTTAATTCTGTTCACTTCCCCCAGGATCAATGGCACTTCTGCCAAAGACTTTGCTCATGGGCACAGTAACGCAGGTCAGCACTCTCTGAGATTAGAGGGTCTCCCTTGAGAGGTAAGTGGACCAAGTTTTCTGCATGGCTAACAAATGCAAGCCCGAATTTTTAGAGCTGAGTGTTTCCTGCCTTGCCATTGATCATGACAGACCAACTCTGCTTTGGGGATCCATGATGTCGTTTCTACTTCGGATCCATAATGTTATTTCTACTTTCTTAGCACTTAGGAACCCTTGAATATGACCCCAAGATTTATAAAAGAACAAATTCATAATAGCTCAGTGTGCTTTATCGTGACCCATCCTACACTAAGATTCACAGATGCTTCAAAAAATTGTAATAGACAAAGGACAGGAATTCATATATTTATATTCACTTGATGTTTGGTACCATGCTTTAACTATTAATCGGATGATCGTTTTAAAGAAGATTTTAAGATATTTGCTTACGATTGAGGTCACTGTGATTTTTCTTTCAAATGGGCAATGTGACTAGCCTTCATTGATTCTTTCTAGTCTTTTCAAAAGGCACAAAATGAATGATCAACTGAGAATTTAAATGAAAAAAAAAAACAGACAAACAAACCTATTGGCATTGACCTGCAAATGATACAGGATGAGTTAACCAGAGTGTCTCTGGATTATGTGTTTTAATGTTCAGCTAGTTCATGAAAACCCTGGGGGCATCGGGGAGAAAAGTCCATCCATCCTAGCTATCTGCAAAGAGCACATTTCTGGGAGCGCTGGATTGCCTGGTCTCGTTGCTATTCACTGTGAGAACTCTGAGTAAGACCAATACTGCACTTTGAAAAATTCAATATCTGTGAGAGGTTATTCATCTAAATAATGTATCCCCAAGAATTAAGGACTCATAGACACACTATAATGTATTGACTCTCCAACTTTCTAAAATGGACAGAATATAGATTCCGTTTGGAGGGTAATAGCTTTCTCCTTGCTGTTGTGGATCCTGAAGAGCAGATCATAGGAGTTTTAATGCTGAATTCCAACCGTGAAGTCACTTGGTCACATTATAAGCATTAGTATCTGCCTAAATAAAGCTGTGTACCTTAGTGAAGTTTAAAAGAAAGGGGAAAAAAAAGCCTTCCTGATTTTCTGGAGCTCCCTCTTCTAGGGCAGCCTTTTCTCTCTGACTTCTGCCCTCTTGTGTTCCCAGGAAGAACTGCAGTCTCTGAAGTTCAAATTAGAAGTAAAATGATTACTTCCTGCAATACCTCAATATTTTCCCCAGACACCATATACTAAAACACACTTATGTGTGCTGATGAAGGATTATATGACGGCAGGAATTTTACATCTGAGGATTCAAACCCTGTAGACCCTTCACGCATCTTCAGACTCCCAAAGGGCCAGGAACTTTTAAACTAGTTCTTAAGGGATAAATTCCTTCTGGGCTCTGAAGCCTTGTGCTATCCAGAAAGGTAAATTATGCTAACGAATGATGGTATGCAAGCAGGCATTTCTTTGACATGTTCCCCAGGGGAAGAACTTACATTTTGATTCTTCAAAGTTACATGAGAGGTTCAAGGTATTTTAACTCAAGAAAAAAAAAACAATGATTAATTTTTTTAAATAGCCTTCCAGAAACCAGAGGCATATGCCCTTAGTCAACGAGAGGACTAGCCACCGGTAACTAGCCACTGGGAACTGTATTGCTTGTGACCCCATTTTCTTTACGGAAAACAAACTATGCTTCCAAAGCTGTCTCTTGCTATTATTGCTACTCTGAATATCAGCTAACTTTAGACCAAGGTCATCTGGGGACCAACCCAAGCTGCTCACATGGATAATGCTCACACCTAGCCACGGTGCCCAGTGAGCCTTGCCAGACCAGCCAGGCCAGCCACGCAAGCCAGGCCAGGCAAGACTGCTATTTTCAGTTGGAGTTCCCAAGCGAAAGCCCCTGACTGCCCTTCACGCTGCTAGCATTTAATTTACTTCTCAGCCATTCTGAACTATCTATCCTGGGCATGATGACCTCTCTGCTTCACTTTATCCTAGTTTTTTGGAGAGCCTGTCGGCAGGTGCGCAGGTATGTCAAACTCTGATATTAAAATGAACTTTGTGTGTAACAGAACAAAGCTCACCCCCCGCGCATACACACACAGCTCTGCTTCATCAAATGGCTTCACCCGAGTGCCTGCGCATGAAATCTTAGGCTGTTTCAGGCCCCGCCCCCCTCACTCCTGCCAATGAAATCTTAGGCTGTTTCAGGCCCCGCCCCCTCACTCCTGCCATCCCAAACCTCCAGCGATGCCAGGCCTTATCCATGCTCATAGGCCAGGGTCTGCTGGGGCCCTCTCCTCCACCACTCCTGCTACCCTGTCCCCTCACCGCAGCTTGTCCTTTCTCCAGGCTTCTACCTCAGCAACATCTGAGGAGACGACCCGGTTTATCAGTCAGAGCCCAGATCTAGGAGCTTGGGTCTTTTTTATCTCACTGAGTCGGGGAGCTAAGGCATTGCTATTCTGCAGAGTGAGATTGGGACTAACCTGTGCAAATTATTTTTAAGGGGACTTGGAACAAAATTCATCAGTAGAATGCTTGTGACTTAGGCATGATACCCTAGGTTCCAGCTCCAGTACAGGAAATAGAATCGTACAAAAAGCCCATTACTGACCAGGAAACTCTCTTCTTGCTTGAACACCTTCAGTGGTCCTCATCAACCTTACGATTCACAAATTTAGATTTCCCCAGTGTGTTTAGTCCATTTTAATGCTTCTAACAGAATTCCACAGGCTGGGAAATTTAGAATGGATAGCAAGGTTTTGGCATTCAGTTGTGTAGACTGAGAGGTTCAAGGTCAAGGGGGTCAGATGCTAGCAACAGGTTCTAGTTGGGCTATTCCTTGATTGGAAAGCAAGGAATAGTGAGTGGGAGAAGCAGAGGCCACTCCTCCTTCCCTGAGGAACCAGAATGAGCCCACTCTCAGAAACGACAAGCAGGTCTTGTGTAACCGACACATTGTAAAGATCTCATCTCTTACTCTAGTACACTACTAAGTTAAGTTTCTAATACATGGATTTCAGACCCCAGCACCTAGGCTGTGTAAAGAGTATTTGAAACCTGGACTTTCCTAGTTACTCTTCCGGCTTCCTCTCTTACATCCCTTCTGTAGCTTTCTTCTGTCCTTCCTTCATCACGTAAATATATCCCATGTCCTGACCAAAGATTTACTATTCTCCATGTCTATCTCAGTCCCCAGTGTCTCCAGTTCGTTCTCAGTTCTGTCCAAAGAGAATTAGGGACAGGAGCTGAGTAGGAAGAATACAATAGATCAGAAGGGATTCGTGGATTTTCCTTCAGTGCTCATTTGAACCATCACTATTTGATGGCATTTCCCTTACTCTCTCTGTAGCCCAGCAGGCCTCAGCCTCCCAAGTAAGTGGGATAAACAAGCCTAAGCATTAAGAGAAGCACTCCAGTTAGCTTCCACAATGAATACATTTACTCATTCCATCTATGGGTCTCTTCAGAACACTGTAGACTCTTCCTATACCTCCACCAACAACCCCCATCTCCCCACTCCCATTCACAGGACCTTTCCTTTAAGATGTAGGGGTCTTAATATAGGAATTCAGTGTTGAATTTTGTGTGCAAGACACCTAGTGACAAACCTAAGATTAAGCAATAAACAGATGTGCTATGTGAATAAAAATGCAAATTTCCAACAAAAAAAACCAGTATCATCAAAGGAAACATACTTGGGAAAAATTCCTGCTTTGACTTTTCTTTCTACTTACTGTACACTTGATTTCAAGGTCCGTGGCTCTACATCTGTACTGCAGGAAATTATTTCTTCTAAAAGCAACTGGCAAAGTCTTGGGGAGTAAGGAGTTGACTCAGTTTAAGGTGGAAAGAGCAAGATGTGTTGGGGGCTGGTATTTACTGCCTCGTGAGTCCAGCTCGGTGTTGAAAGACTTGGAAACCAAAGGGCTATTAAAATAGAGACAGGCCTGTTGACAGAGGTTTCTGTTTCACCCAGTGCCACAGCCATTTAGCCCCAAAGAAACACACAAGTGTCTACATTAATTATAAACTGATTGGCCTAGTAGCTCAGGCTACTTATTAACTCTTATAACTTATATTAGCCCATAATATTTGTCTGTGTTAGCCACATGGCTCGGTACCTTTTTTTGGTGAGGCAGTCACATCTTGCTTCCTCTGCATCTGGTGATGGCCGCTGATTGAATCTTTTCACTTCCAGAATTCTCCTGTTCTCATTGCCCGGCCTCTACTTACTGCCTGGTCTTCCCGCCTATATTTCCCGCCTGGCAACTGGCCAATCAGCATTTATTAAGCAAGTACAAGAAACAAATCTTTACAGGGTAAAAGCATTGTCCCACAGCACAGGTCTGGCAGGAGTGGTGCACAACTTTAATTCTAGCACTCAGGTGGCAGAGGCAAATGGATCTCTGAGGTCAAGGCCAGGCTGGTCTACAGAGTGAGTTCTGCATCAGCCAGGGCTACACTGAGAAACCCTGTCTCAAAAGCAACAAAACCAAACCCAAAACAAAACAAAATAAAAACCAGAGAGAGCCAACAAACGCAGTTCACATATGCATTCAAACTCACTCACTTAATATCTATACACTTGGCTCATCTGTACAAGATCCTGTGTGGCTGGAACCAAGCCTGGACAACTCAGCTTCCAGCTCTGTAACGAGCATAGGTCTGCCACTGCCATTTCTAGTGTGCCAACCAGGCCTTTTATCAGAGCCATCCAGAAAGACTGACTGGGGAGGGTAGGCAGAGTGAGCCAGGCTTCCTGTGCTCTCTCTGTATGGCTATGTAGTCACTATGACCTCAGCACGGAGCAGATTAAGGACGGGAGGTAAAACCTGGCCTTCAGTTGGTTTGCTCAGCATAGCATGTCACGTAATTTTTTTCTTCTCAACCATCATTTATTTGCTCACAATTCTTAACAATTTGTGCTGGGCACAGTGGGCGTGGCTTGTTTTATAGGTCTCTCTTGGGCTTAGATTATGAGTACAGGCTGAATCTCATGCACAACTCATGGAGAACAGGCTGCCTGCTGG